AGTCTTTTCCTTATTGTTTAATCATAAACACTGACCCTGACTGAGGCAAGTAAGGCAGTTTGTTTAGGTCACTCATAGGAAGGCTCAACACTGTTCCAAGTTCTGCCATTTGTAGCTAATGGCTCCATCTCAGTAACAACAGCTTAGAAATGATCTTTGTAACCCTTTCCAGACGGTTTGTTTCGTAAATGTTCTGTTTTTGGTTTTTAAGATCACAGCATAATGTGTTGCTTTTTGAAATCTTTCTCCCTGTTTCACTTGTCAGTCTGATTTAAGTGATTTCTTGATTTCGCAGGTCTGACAGTAATCAGCTCTGGGTGTGGCTTGTGAATTTAAACTCACCTTTCCAAAAACATGTGTGTACTCAGTTAATTAATGATTCAACGAGGGAGGGCATCTATTTTTTCACATGAGGCCAAGCAGTTGGGCAGCTTTTTTCCTTTAACAAATGAAATCATGCTGCTCTGTCTTTACTCTGGTTATCTTTCTGATACACTGCTCATGCTGGATATCTACACTAATAAGGACTGGTTAATGTGTTAGCAAATAAAGGATGCCATATGTTTTAATGTAAAGGAGAAATGATCGACCTACAGAGGGCTGAATTGAAAGACACCCAAAAATCGAGTGAACGAACGATGCAACAGGCTCGTCCATTGTGCCGATATTTCAGTGCAGCCATTCAGAATGTAGGAGAGTAGTCTGTCAGCCCCCCGTGTGCCACTATAATAAGAGAACAGATGGTGTCCTGGGCGATCTCCTCCCAGATCTGGTCCAAGGCGTTACTGATTTTCCTGCACGAACGAAACCGAAACATAGAGAGCTGTTCCACTGGATGTAGGACAGGCGAGGGGCGGTCAGTGGTGTGCATCCTTTCATCCTACAGGAAGTACCTGCACACTACATGAGGCCAGGCGTTGTCACGCACCCAGGACCACCTGCACCAGGATAGGATCTGATAATGGGTCTGAGGTTTTCGATCCGATACCTAAGGGCAGTCACTGCTGTAGAGGTTCATGTGTCCCTCCATGGATCGGCCCCCCCAGACCATCACTGATCCTCCACAAACCCAAGCATGAACGATGTTACAGGCAGCGTGATGTTCTCTGCAGAACAGTCATTTTGACTGATGTGACTTGAAATTATTATTTTGGGGAAAAAATGCTGAAGCAAAGCATTTTCTGTGCCCCTCCCCCTCTGTGCTCATGCAGACATTTAGTCACAGAGACAGTTTTTCCTCACTGGGTTGTGGGATTGGTGGAGCTTTCTCTCTTTCTGATGTGAGGTACCTTCACATACCTGTTGGCTCCACATACTTCTGCAGGTCCCACGAGCAGATGCTCAGTGGAACCTGCTGCCTCCTTTAGGTCCTAAATGTGTCACCTTCTCATTGACCTGGATCTGAAGAGTGTTGACTGTTCACTCATGTACTCACCAAACACGTCTCCTTTTCAAAGACGTGTCAATTTCATACAATAATGACTTTGTATTTAAGCTCAGGTCACTGCGAACAGTACTTACAGTCTTTGTGCTTTTAATGCTAAGTGTGCTCAAGTTGTTTTCAGTTAGTCATGGTCTAACTAAGCTCACGATCAAGACTATACATCTCCATAAACTAATATTACTTATATCCATGTAATGCTCTCCAGTACTGGACTCTGGGCAAAGGCCATTAATATAGTCACATGTTAATTTAGTTTGCAGCTAACTGCTCCCACTAACCCACTGCTGAGGGACTAGAAGAAGTTAAATTAAACAATGACTCAATCAGGCAGCTGGTCAGTTCCTCTGGTGTGAGCCAAACGTTAAGCCAAGCCTAAGTATTTGATCTCTGCCCGGGTTCTGACACTTCTCACTGTTGCTTTAGGCTAACACAAACAAACCCTTCCACTGCTTTCAGCCTGGTAGGCCCAGATCGGCACAGATAACATCCAGCAGCTGATTAAAGCTGGTGGTAGGTGCAGAAATAACATGGTTAAGCCTTTAGTGAGCTGATGGTTGCCAAGCCATGAGGGTATCTCTTAATTGTAACAACAGCAGCCTTTAGTCGTCAGTGTGTCACAGCCCATCTGGAGAGGAGAGGAGGGGGAAGAATGGAATGTCAGTGTTACTGGAGCAAAATGTATCCATTTAATCTGTTAATGAAAGTTCTTCTACTCGTGTCCAGTCCCCGTTGATCAAAAGGTTCATCACATGTCACACGTTCTGGCTAACATGGTTACTATGGCAGAGCAGGGTCTTTCTTTGGGACATTTGGCTTTTATTTCTCTGTGATGAGCTCGGGTGAAAGTCTTTAAGGCAGCTCTATCCTCAGGAATACGTTGTTGTTCATTCTGAACATTTCTGTATGAAGGCGTCTGTACGTTGGAAACAGAAGGTCCTTGCAGTAAAATGCTTAGCTTGGCATGGCTGAAGCTTTTCCCATGTGATATGCTGAAATCTGCTGGGCCATTAATTCCCTGTAGCGTCTAACATTCATCTGCAAAGGACAAAATAATGGCAACATATGGCAAACACTGGGGAAAAACAATATTTTATATTTTAAACCAGTTTCCCAGTAAAACCAGTTTTTCCTATCGAGCTAAATGTTCTTGAGTCTCAGTGACATGAAAGTTTTAGAGTTGTGTGTCCTTCTCATCTGCTAATTGTTCAGCCTTTGGTTTGGGGACTGACTGTTCTGTTTCTTCCCCCTCTGCAGGTTAGCAGAAATGGAGAATCGTAATGGCTCTTATCTCACTGACAGTATCTCACCCAATGAGAGCATGTGAGAACCGCTTTTTGTCTGTCTTGTTCTGCCAAACCCTTCTCACTCACTTATCGCCTTGATGTCTGTGAACTGGCTCTGTCTTCTTTGTTTCCATTGGCTGGTTTTTGTATGTCAGTGACTGTGCTGAGTTTACTGGATCCAGGTTTTATCCTTGTGTGCATCATCACAGCCACACAAACACAGCTGTAGTGTAGTTGGTGGTACATGCTGTTCTTAGGGATGTAATGTTTTTGTCTGTTATCATGATTCTTTCTCCTTCACAGTCCCGTCAGATTTCTTACCAAAAACAGCATCACAACAACTTTCTCGACTTGAGTCTAAACAAATTTAGTTATTTAAACAAAATCAACAGCAGAGAGGAGCAGACCACGTCCACGTTGGCTGCCTTGCAGTCAAAATGAGATTTGAGCAATAAATGCTTTGGTTTGCTTCATCATCACTCTTTTCCATTTCTGTTTACGTTTTATTAACTTACTGTTCTAGTATCAACTGTATCGTGCTTACCTCCACAACCTCTACACAACTCATAAACATAGCCACACTCTTAAATGTCCAAGTATGACAGGAGCATGTTTATGCATTAACAATACATCAGTAAACGTTTGTTTCACAGCAACGACAAAACTTCTAGTGGTTACTTTCTCTGCTCTGAATGGCAGGACTGAATATTCAAAAGTGGCGACATTTTAATGAGAAAGCTAAATGCAAAATATTTAATGGGCAGTTGCCCCAATATGTGGTGATAGTGGCCACCTCAGGAAATATAGATCCAGTACATCAGCGGTCTCCAACCTTTTTTGCGCCACGGACCGGTTTATGCCCGACAATATTTTCACGGACCGGCCTTTAAGGTGTCGCGGATAA